TTTTCTAGCCTGCTCAAATCCTGCTCATTCTTTAACTCCCAATTAAAATATCTCCCAGGCCACAAATCGAATGAATTTTTTACTCCTCAAATCTTTCATGATACTTTTTGTTCATATCACTGCTGTAGCTCTCAACAGTCTATGCTGTATTTTACCAATATTTTTTTGTCTTACTCCCTTTGAAGTCCTAAAGTGCACTCTCCTCAGCACTTAGCACCTGACCCACAATAAATGCTATATAAGGTTTACAAATTTGGTACTGAATTAATGCCATACGTACATTTTCATTAAAATTATTAAGAATCACAAATATATTTCAGAAATTAGAGAAAAAATAAAATAAAACTGAACCAGAAAGTCTTCAATATTGAGACGAGGCTGGAAAAGATTAAAATAATGTGACGCATAATGTAATATGGGCTCATATTTCCAAAAAAAAAGTCCAGTTTTATTTTGTTTACTGAAAGATAAAATTTCTAGTAGAGATGAAACCTCCCTCTTTTCATATTGCTCCTTTCCTTTTCCTTTAGACTCTTCAAAACAGAAGCAGCTTGGACATTATTGATACCTGTGGCATTAATTCTTTATTCACTAGGTTTATTTTTTCCCCATCTAGTCTTCCAGGTGCCATGAGCATAGCTGTAAGAACCTCAGTGCTTAAGATGAGAATGCATGCCATGTAGGAGGAAAGCATTCCGGCTCCCCTTTGGAAAGCTTTTATTTCATTCCAGTGCATCTGAGAGAACATGAGCCTGTCTGGAGTGTACTCCCCTTTCCCTCTGGTGCTGTGTTCTCCTATATTAGAAGAGGAGCATTGGAAAGGAGGAAGCAGGCTGTTCTGGTTTCCTCTTCACAATCCCAGGACCCCTGTATCAAGTCCTGTATTGCAGTGGTCCCATATGCAATGTGTTGACTGTGGAAGCAGCAGTGGTGAGAGCTTGATGTATCTGAATTTTAATTATACATGGTAAAGACTCCTTGCTGGTTCAGAAAAGCCACTGTTCTGATTTGTTTTCTTTTAGTGAAGGGCATTTTATCCAATTAGAGGGAAATTATCAAAGAGTAAAGAAGCCAACTGCCTATCTCAATCTCACTGCAGACTTGCTGTATAAGAAGGTTCTAATTATACTTACCACAGTGTTAAGAGCTCCCTGCTAACCAAAAGGTCAGCAGTTCAAATTCACCAGCCATTCTTTAGAAACCGTGTAGGGGCAGTTTTGCTTTGTCATATAGGGTCACTATGAGCCGGAATCGACTAGATAGCAACAGGTTTTTGGTAAGCAATAGTAGGAGCCCTGGTCTTGCAGTGGTTAAGAGCTCACTGCTAACCAAAAGGTCAGCAGTTCAAATTCACCAGCTGCTCTATAGAAACCCTATGGGGCAGTTCTGCTCTGTCCTATAGGGTCTCTATGAGTCAGACTCGACTCGATGGCAACGGGTTTTGGTTTTGGAATCCATAGTAATGGGCTTTGCTCTAGCAAAGGACTCTTTCTTAAACTCTTTATTATTTTAAACTCTTTATTATTTAAACTCTTTCTACTAAAGTAGAATTATAAAGACCCACATGTAACCATATCCAACTTCAACCTTTGTTAATTTATAGCCAATCCCTGATTCCTAGATAATTTTGAATCAAACCCCAGATACCATATCATTTCATATATACGTATTTGTAAGTATCATGTAGGAGTCTTGTTAGAAATATTGTTAAATCTGTTTGCCTTTGATTAGTAAACATCTCATCCTACTGTAGAATTCATATTTTGTTGCTCAGAAGTTGAAAAATATAGGGGACTTCCAGAGTATATTGGATTTGTAAAGCCTATGTGGAGAGTTGGATTGTGTGAGCTAGCTCTATTCCTGTCATTAATCTATTCTGTACACAATGGCCCCGGGGTGCAGAAACGCCCCTCCTATGGTCACCTAGTAACTTTTCACTAGTCAACAACAAGCTGAATAAACTATTATGCTGTGGGAAAGTGCTTGCCTAGCTGGCTGGGATCATCTCCTAGATTTTAGGAGAAATAACCATTGCCAAGTTTCAATTTGTTAAACCTTTAGGCTCTGCTGGCAAGAAAGAAACATAGCAATTTTGGAGCATAAAATGGATACAGAAGACATGGGCTCAGGTAAACTAGGCCAAATATTAAAGCAGATTTGGAGACAAAACCTGATGCTAAAGCAGGCGTTTCTACGGGATGATCTTTTTGAGGAGGCTGGTGGGGCCACTTGGCTAGCCACAGTGGTCTTTCTGGGTCAAGAGCTCAGTGGGGCCCTTCACCAACTGTTGGAGCACACTGCAGGGACCCTGCACTCTACCTGCCAGCAACTACAGGTACTGCTTGACAAGGAGAATCAGTGCATCTGGAGACAAGGCAAGTATTTCTCTTATTTATTCTTTCTCTAAGAAATATTGATTGAGTAGCCAGTCTGAGAGGTACTAAAGAGCATACTATCAAGGCTTAGACAGAATCTCTGTCACAGGGAATAAGGGGGAAATCAGATAAGGCAAATACATAATAATACAAGGGACCTTGAGACCACTGCCATCAGAGACATATGAATGAAATACTTTAGGGCTTCAGAAGCAATTAAAAAGCCCAAACCCGGTGCCACTGAGTCAATTCCAACTCATAGCCACCCTATAAGGCAGAGTAGAACTGCCCCATAGGGTTTCCAAGAAGGAGCTGGTGGATTTGAACCGCCGACCTTTTGGTTAGCAGCAGTAGCTCTTAACCACTGTGATACCAGGGCTCCGAAGCAGTAGGGGATGTGTAATAATGCCCTATTTGTTCAAAAGCAGGCAAGATCCCACTTTCAGGGTAGAAAATTTTACTAGCTTACATGTGATATTCAAACTGAAGCTTAAACAATGAGTAGGATTTATGCAGCTGGAAATTGAGAGTCTTGAAAGAGCATTACAGGCAGAGGTATTATTAGCAGGATTCAAGACTTAGAAATAGGCAAGAATAGGCCCAGTTTAGGCAGAGAAAGTAGCTTTTCTGGACTGTAGCAGAATATTCTATCTCTAGACTTAAGTATGAACCCATTAATTTCAAAAATATGTACTTGGAAAACTAGAGTAGTCTGGGACATGTAATTGGATTCCCCCACACATGCACAATAAGGTGGGGCAAATTTTGGGGACTATATCTAGTTATGAATGCTGAGGCGTGCACTAAGAAAGACATCTAAGGAATGTAATGTCAGACAACAAGGGTTACTTCAGATGGGAAGATAGGTGACATCGTGAAATCTAACTCTAAATAAGATGGTATCAAGGCAAGTGGGTAAGTACTATCAGTCAAGAATCCAGGGGAGATGAGGTTAAGCAATAGAATCTTGAAAGCAGAGCATAGGCATCAGGGAAATCAGTCCAAAGGTAGCATGACAGAGAGCCCATAATCTGTCACTCAAAATAAGCCATCCAGTCTCTGAAGAGAATTAAAAATTGTCCTAGAAGAACTCAGCTACCAGAACAGGAGTTCAAAATAAAGACAGGGGTTCTGGTATAAAGACAAAACCAAAAGAAAACAAAAAACAAGTTGTCAGAATGAAAGCCCAAAGACAAGCCCAGACTAGCGAAAAGATGATTTGGTGATGTGTCTAAAAACACTGAGCTATGGAGTCTTAAATCACATCTTCTTTAGTTCAGACTGAATTTTAAAGATTGGAGAGGTGCTCTGCCAGCAAGCAGTCATCAGGTGGCATCAGCTATGTGGAGAAGAGGGAAGAACATATAAGAGAATGGAACTGGAAGTGAGAGTTTACACCAGAATGAAGAGGCTTGACTTGATTTAGGAGTCCTTGAGTAGCCAATGTAGGTTCTGATCAGAGAACTGGCATAATCAGAGCTGTTCTTTGGAAGACTAATTAGAAAATTATCAATGATGACAAACCCACCACGAGGCATATTGTAAACCAAAATTTCATTTTCATAGTAGCTACGAAACCACTCAATAAAATATAGCATCTGTGCTAGCATAAATAATGGAGCTATGATATTCCTGCCCATCAGCCTCATCTGGAGTTTTAGGCCAAATATTTTAAGTGGATCATTGATAAAATATAATATAGCCAGAGGAGAAGAAACAGTTCTCCAAATCATTCCAAATGAGGAATGATTGAGGGAGATGTTGACTTCAGTTGAAAAGAGTCTTACGGGAAGTCATGACACTTATCGCAGAACAAGTTGATTCTGACTCAGCAACCCTATAGGACAGGGTAGAACTATCCCATAGGGTTTCCAAGGCTGTAATCTTTTATGGAAGCAGACTGCCACATCTTTCTCCTGCAGAACGGTTGGTGGATTCTAACTGATGACCTTTTGTTTAGCAGCTGAGCACTTAACCACTGCATCACCAGGGCTGCAAGAGTTATGATACCTGTCTTCAAATACTCAAAGCACTTTCATGAACAAGAAGAATAGGATTCACTCTTTGCTACTATCATAAAGGGAATTCGTGGGTGGCACAAATGCTTAAGGGCTCAACTACTAGCCAAAAGGCTGATGGTTCAAACCCACCCAGAGGCTCATCAGAAGACAGGCCTGGTCATCTGCTTCCAAAAGGTCACAGCCTGGAAAACCCTATGGAGCCATTCTACTCTGAAATCTGGTGTCGCCATGAGTAGGAATCGACTCCACAGCAACTAACAATGACTATCTTAAAAAGTAGTTTGTCCCCAACTCCTAGAAGTATTAATTCCTAGAACTGTCACTAATTAGTAACAATTGTACAGATGACTTCTCCTTCAAGAAGGAGATTGGCTTAAATGCATGGGAAGGGTCTTTTTTGATTTCTAAGATTATCTTTCTATACCTCATTACATGTCAGTACAAAAATATAATTGGGTTTAGTTTGTATTTATTCTTTTTGTGTGTGTGTATGTGTGTAGAAATCATTAATTTCATAGACTGCCTCATGAAAATAAATGAATATTTGGGGAGGACTGCTACACTTTTAAAGAAAGAAGAAAAGGAGATGTGTAATTTACGCAGCATGCATGATGAATGTACTCCACTACAGACAACGTCCATCATTCAAGATATCCAAGCAACAGACATTGCTGCAAGAGGGGAGCTAAATGTCATAGAAACAGATACTGTGTCCCCCACAAACGGAGAAGAAAGTCATTACAAGAACCAGGTCCAGATAAAAAAAAATAAAACACATGTGAGTTCAGAATTAATGGAAAAGGAAAACAACACATCATTGAATGGAAATGTAACAGGACAAAAAGAATCACAGAACAAAATGTTCCCAGATAAAGCAGAAAATAAAGCTGATAAACAAACAGAACACATGACTGCTGAGAACATAAATGGCAACAAGAAAGAGATTCATGACATAATCCAGACAACAGAAAGAGAAATTCAAGAGATCTCAGAAAGCCAAAGAGAAGAGATTACCACATCTTCAATAACACGTGACAGCTTCAATAAATATGTGAATAGTCTTCTTCCCAATAATCCAGAGAGCGTAAACAAAAAGAATAACATAATGGAAAAGGAGTAAGTAAATGCAATGGGAGTGGGGATTATATATACCTATTTATTGGTGTGTTTTAATAGTTAATAGACATAGTATTTATACATGGATAAAATTTTTATTTCCTTTCCATATCTCCAAAAGTTATTATAAATCAATAAGCCAGTTTAAACTACCGCATAAAAATATATGCAGCTGCTATTACTAATATTGCTTGTCTCATATCTTAAGGGAGCAAACAAATGTTTCTTTAAAGGGAGAAGGAATTAACTAGATAACCCCACTGCCGTCGAGTCAATTCTGACTCATAGTGACCCTATAGGACAGAGTAGACTGCCCCATAGGGTTTCCAAAGAGCACCTGGTGGATTTGAACTTCCAACCTTTTGGTTAGCAGCTGTAGCCCTTAACCACTGTGCCACCAGAGCTCCTAACTAGATAAGAAAGTGGTTACAATGCACAATTATCCTGAACATGGACACTTTTCTAAATCACTACTTTATCGATTATAATTAGATAAAACTGAGAGGCTGCAGAGTGTTCAGAAATCAGGTGAGAATTTTCTATCTTCAGATTTTATTCATACTCTCCAGCAAACTATCATTAACTCTTAACCTGTGTCTGTAGAACTCTAGGGGCTCATGGATAAGCTTCAGGAGGTTCTTAAAATTGAATGTATACTTTCATACCTACTTTATCTCCTTGGAGATGACTCAGAGCTTTCATCAACTCTCAAAGAGCCCATGACTTCAAAAAGGTGAGAAAGACTGATCTATTTTATAGATAACCTCCCCCTATACAGGAGTCCTGGTTGTGTAGCGGTTAAGAGCTTGGCTACTAACCAAAAAGTTGGCAGTTCAAATTCACCAGCCCCTCCTTGGAAACCCTATGGGTCAGTTCTACTCTGACCTATGGGGTTACTATGAGTCAGAATCAAATTGGCTTGAGGGCATGGGTTTTCAGGGTCCCCTATGCAAGTGTGTAATAATCCCTTATTTCTTTAAATAAAATAAAATACTCACGAACCACATTTTCCCATACCTTTAGAAGGTAATGAGTAATAACGAAAAAAAAAAAAAATCATTGTCTTTGGAAGTCAGAAAGACTTAAATTTTATTTCCTATTTTATTACATACTAATTCTATGGCCCTGGGAAACTTGATGCATTTCTTAGCTTCATTCTCTTTTTTCTAGAAATAATGTATGTCTTCTGGGATTAATTGGTAAAGTGAAAAGAGATAATCATGTAAAAGTTTGAGCACCATGCCATTTTGCAGATGTTCTCTCTCACTCAGCTAAATGTTAGCATGTTAGTTTATTTCATCCCTAACAGCCCTCATTTTCCCCACCTCCCACTCACTACCATCCCTCACTCCTCCCTTTCTCTGCCTTGATGTGTGATGCTCTTTCAGATGTAGAATAGTATTTCCAGAACAGCACCCCTAACTGCATCTGTGACCTCAGACAAGTCTTTTTGCCTACCTTGATCTTGGCTATCCTATCTATAAAACGAAAAGGTTGAGTGGGGCTCATTTAGCTGTGATGTCCCTACAGGTCTGGAAATCCAAAGAATTCTATGGATGTCATAGGAATACATTCAATGCATGAAAGACTTCCATAATCTGAAAAAAACTATGCCTCTGCAAAATGACTAAAGTAGTCAACATGTGGTTGGTTACACATTTCATTTGAGAAAAGCAGTAATACTTCATATACTTACATTTAGAAATGACTGAAAGCATCAGCTAATGAGTCATTGCCTGAACAACTCCCTCTAACACCTCCTTTAGGTGTTCCCTAGTTGCTGATTTCATCTTGTGGCATTAAAACCAATTGTGCTTGGCTTGCATATTTAAGAAGATGACTACTCATTGCAAGCTCTTAGGCTAGGAAGCCATTATACCACATAAAAGATGTGTGTCATAAACAAAGCCTTGCTCAGAATCCATTGTGATTCCTCCCTGGGCAACTTTCTGAAAGGCATTACTATTACTCTTACTGTAGCTCTCCTGGTGTATACAGAATGAAGGGGAAAACAAGACTAGAACAAACCAATATGATTATTTTAGGAGCTGGACTAGATCTACTTGATCTGAGTCGGGGGAATGGAAACATTTACAGGTCCCCTTGCCCTATGTCATCTTTCAGTTGGGAAACATACCTTCTGGAAGAAGAGGGTATTGAGTTGGTTTCTAGGGCACTGGTCTTTTGTAACCACAAAGGAGTCATCCTTGAAGATATACAAGGTTGAGGCATGGCATACTTTCTTTTAAATAATGTGTCACATTGTCTGAACCACTATTATCACCATCATCAGATGATACTCAAGCAGAGCAATAAGCTGGATATGTTCTATTCCTTCTAATTTTATGGGTTTAGAATCGCAAATATAAATAAATGGCCCTTTTTGCGTTTTCAACATATATTTTAGATTTTTGTGCTACAAGCACTATAAGATCCAATTTACTAATGATTGAAAAACAGTTAAAACCTGACTATTCTAAAACTAGTTATTAGTACTTTTTATGTATATCCTCTTATTTCTCATTAATATTGCCTATATTGCAAATCGTTCCACTGGTATAAAATGAAAAGTAATGAGGAGAAACTCAAGTTAATAATTTTAATGCTGAGATCTAGCGTTTATTTTGTATCCATTTTATGTAAACCCATTATTATGAAAGGTGTCTTAGTTATCTAGTGCTGCTACAACAGAAATAGCACAGGTGGATGGTTTTAACAAACAGAAATTTATTCTTTCACAGTTTAGGAGGCTAGAAGTCCGAATTTAGGCATCAGTTCCAGAGAAAGCCTTTCTCTCACAGTCGAATCTGGGGGATGATCCTTGTCATCAATCTTCCTCTGGGTCTAGGAATTCCTCAGCACAAGCACCCCAGGTCCAGGGACACACTCTGCTCCTGGCTCTTCTTTCTTGGTGGTAGTAGGTCCCTCTCCTCTCTGTTCGACTCTCTCTTTAGTATCTCAAAAGAGATCGACTCAAGATACAACCTAATTCTGTAGATTGTGTCTTGCCTCGTTAACTTAATTGCCTCTAATCCTGCCTCATTAACTTCATAGAGGTTAGGATTTACAACACATAAGATAATGACATCAGATCACAAAATGGAGGACAACCACACAATAATGGGAATCATGGCCTAGCCAAGTTGACACACATATTTGGGAGACACAATTATATCCTTAACAAGATGTTTAAATGTTTTATTTCGTTCATTTATCACACTATTTTGGATTAGGTATTGGTTTCAGTTTGTAATGTATAAAGAAATCAGTGCCCTGGAATGATTAAGGAAGTATGATATTGTATTTAAGAATTTGATCTTTGGCATTAAAGATAGATGGATTCAATTATTGGTTCTACAACTTACCATCTGTGTGATCTTCTGACTCTGCAGGAATTGGAGGATGAGGGTTCATAGCAGGAAACCCTGATGGCATGGTGGTTAAGAGCTACAGCTGCTAACCAAAAGATCAGCAGTTCGAATCCACCAGGTGCTCCTTGGAATCCCTATGGGGCAGTTCTACTCTGCTCTATAGGATCGCTGTGAGTTGGAATCGACTCGATGGCAACGGGTTTTTTTTTTTTTGGTTTATGTGCCAGACACTAATTTATAAGTACTTAACATATAATAGTTCATTTAATTCACTTGGCTTCCCTATGAGATAGGTGTTGTTTTATCACTATTTTACAGTTGAGGAAGCTGAGGCACAGAGAGTTTTAGTATATTGCCCAAAGTCACAGAGTCAGTAAGCAGACGAGTTAGAGGGAGAACTGGGATTCACACCAAGGCAATGTGGATCTCAAGTTTGTGCTCTTAAGCATTTAGCTACGTGGTACACAAATCAAATAAGTTTAAAAATTGCATCCTTTTTTTTTTTACCTTGCAGGTTTCTTGATGTGCTGAATGATGAAACTGGACCACAGGTGTCTTGCTATATTACAGCACCATCATACGTTCTACAACACCTAGAATGCCGAATAATTAATAGCATGAGTTCTTTAATAGTGAGTGAAAATGAAGAGTTGGTCAGCAATGTCATCACTATTGAGTTCTCAGATCAGGAAAAGAGAATCCCATTCCCAATATGCATTGCAATTCCATTTAATGCACGTTACAGGGGAAACTACAGAGACATCATGGTGAAAGTGTCTGACATAAGCCTTCAATCAAGTTACCTAACCCCAAATGCTCTGGAAGGACCAAGAGGAAGTTATAAGGTTGGTACATCCCTGGCTACATCAACATTTGCTCTTTGGCTCCTTTTCTAAATAATACTCTGACTACTAGATTGCAGTGCCGATACAACTGCTCATTGATAACAAATGGAATGGTTGATAGATTTATGCCAGTGCATTAATGCTTTTTTACCATCCATAAAGATCAAAAGGCAGAAATTATTGACCAGCGTTTGAAACGGAGAACTTGGACCTAGGACCTAGCAAATATTTTCACCTGGGAAGCAAAACCAACTTCATGGCCCAGTTAGTTGCATGCTTTAGACTACCTTTAGACCAACATTTCAAGTGTGATGGCTCTCTGGTCTAAATTTAAAAATGTGAGAATTTCTCGATGATAGTAGCTTTATTTTCTATCATTCATGCTTTGAGAATATATGTAAACAAATAAAAAAGTGAGTGTGTGTATGCTTGTGAGATATTTGAATCTGTAAATGGTATTTAGTCTGTATCTTGAAAACAACATATGTGGTAGTTAGGATGTGGACTGTGGAAGTAGATTGGCTGAGTTGAAATTTGTTTCCTACACTTTTCTGCTATATGAACTTGGACAAGTTATGTAACTTTGATGTGACTCAATGTCTTCATCTGAAAAATGAACAAAACAATAGTTTCTGTCTGATAGGTTTAAAGATTATGTGAGACAAGACACTTAGAAAGATAAAAGGAAGCTTGTAAATAAATATGTTATCATTTTGGTTAATAAATGATCATTTTTCATGGTAAGCTTTTTTGTAATAACTTTGAGGCCCTCTAAAAGGATGGGAATTCATAGTTTGGGAAGAGAGAATGTACACACAGAGTTGATGGGAATTAATATTTAACATATTCTGTAGGCCACTGAACTTTTTTTTTCTTTTTTTTATTGTGGTAAAATATATATCACAAAATATTTACCATTTCATCCATTTTTATGTGTACAGTTCAGTGGTATTAATTATGCTCACCATGTTGTGCAACCATCACCACTGTCCATTACCAAATTTTCTATTACCCTTAATGAACTTATTTTTAAGCTACTAAAATACTTGTCTTTTTCAGCTTTATGTATGTTGTCATTATTTGAGAAGAGCAGGGGATAAATATAAAATTTTTGATGTATGCAGAACTATAATACATCTCTTCCATTTCTGAATTTGATCTTTTCTGAGCTATGAAAAAGCCTATATAGTTGAATGTGAAAGTTGAGCCTGTTCTAATCACTTACTCCAATTCATGCGAGCAATATATTTTATATTAAATCAAGGTAGCCTGCACTAGGCTGGTCAGCACTGCCCTTGAGTGGGGCTTTTTAATCTTGCTTGGCCAGTCCAACTGACTATCATAATGAAAGCAAAGACTGTTCATCACACA